TTTAATCAAATAAATGGAAGATGGTACCATAATTTATTGACTTTCTTTGCAAACATAACCATCTTTTACACATTAACATATAAACAAAACAAAAAAAGTATTACAGATATTTATAAAGTATCGTTACAATATTTTTAATTATTTTTATTGACAGGCATAAATATTGTGTACTACTTGTCCAACCGGCTTTCTCTTACAATGAAACTGATATCCAGTAAGAAAAAAATCAGTTTCACCTCCAAACTTTTTAACACCAGCAATTTAGTCCGTCCATTTTCAGTCTGACACTATAATAAAAACGTATTTTCTCATGTCGTCGTGTGTAAGCAAACTTTTTGCCATACATATCAATATAAATTATTTATCGTTCAATTACGCGAAACTCCAATTTCGAAGCAATATGATTCAATTTCAAAGAAAGTAATCAGAGAAAAAAAATGGGGTGAGTCAGAGGCGAGATGGAAAAGCCATGAGTATCGATGAAACTAAACAAAGGCTCTCATTTCTCAATAAACTGTTCGCTTTGCGCGTCAAAGCAAACGGGTGGCCGAGGAAGCGTTGACAAGCTTAATACGATCGCAAACAGCTCAGGGATTTCTTTGAAGTCACAAAAGCTTTGAACCCTCTACACATATATATTATACACGCAAAGCATACGCATTATCATATGCCTAATGTGCAATATGTTGGCACATGCATTTACATACTTACACGTGAGGGGCTGAGCTTAAAGTATTCTGATTTCTGATTCAAAGCTTTTTTAGTCCACCGTCGATAAGTAAAGATTCGAGATCATATTTTGATGATAACCTACAAAAATATCATCCCTACCGAAATGAAATATTTTAATTCTCATTTCTGGTAGACAATCATTTCAGCATGTCATTAAGATAGATATAGCTTTTTCCAAACTTTGCTAAGTGGCAGATTAACAACAAAAACTTATGTAACTAAGAAAGATACCTAATCGATAAGGTAGATTTTAGCTTTTCCGACCAAATATCATAACCCCTTCAAAATCATACAAGATCAAATGTATGTTCAACACTTATCTATTGTTTAACCTTTAGAGTCGCGAGACCCAGGACAAGCACTTGTCGACCTTGTGGGGCCCAACCTGTGACTCGTTGGACTGTATAGTTAAAGACGTGATGATGCCAGAGTACCAACTTGGCGATTGGCTCTACTGGAAAGACATGGGCGCATACTCGACCTGCCTTGGAACTAATTTCAACGGCTTTGGAGTGCCCATCATCTTTCCTGTTATGCGAAGAAGTAACTGGTAATTCAGCTTATTTTTTTTAACAGCGTATTTGTTATAACATTTATTTCTATTGATTTTTATGTAGAAGATGAGTATGTTCAAACACGTATGAGTTTTACTTTTTCTGCAACAAAAATCGTAGTTGAAAATATAACGCCAGTTTTTTCTCTTTTTTGTGTATGTAGGAATGATTTTATGTCAGAGATCAGTAAAAACAATCAAGTGATAGTAAGAGAAATCGACGATGAGGCTAGCGATCATCCCAAGTCGGATAGCGATGAAGCCAGCGAACTACGGAGCAACAACTCGTAAGTGATGGCACTTGTTGTTTCATTCAAATTCATTTATATCCTCATTTCTACAACTGTATGTATTGTACATACAACAATTACCAATCAATTACTTTAATTCATCTCATACTATAACATTTCAAAATCTAATCAATACTGAGAGAAAAAAATTGCATGTGCTAGAATGATAATGTGGTACTGTTCAGTTGTCTGGAGACTTTTTACTGTTTGTACAATATAAATAACTGTCCAGAATGGTAAAAATTACGTCACCAAAAGTAAAAAGATCCTAGATGTAACTAAACTGTCATTTTAGCACAGTAAATGTTATTTTTGTCTCTATCAGTAGTAGAAAAATAAGGTAAATGTTTATTTTCGTTTATTGTTTCCAGAAATTGCAGCATGTAGCCTCTATGATGGTGCACTTCTCAACAATGTAGTTCCAAGTCCACCTAATTTTACTATCAATTTATACATATATTTTCTATACTGCCCACCTACCTACTACTGATACGCGTTCGAGTACTCTACATCTGATATGTGATACGATGCAGCGATACGGCAATATGACTGCTACTCATAATTCTTGCATTAATAATAAATTTATTGCTAGGCTTAAAATAAAGAAAAATGTGTTCAATGTGATGAATATTTATTAAACATAATAATTGTTGCGTAAAATAAAATTAAATATATTCATTTTGTCACAAAATGCGATTCGTCCGAAATCTTGTTACTCCTTGCGCCTGACCCCGTTGATTCCTTTTCCAAATGGAGATGCGTTAGTAGTTGTCAAGAAACAAGTATTATATCTGTAATAATGAGGAAAAAAAAAAATTGAATGCATCGTCATACTTTTCGGCATTGCGTATTTTACATGGGCAATTTTTTTGTCACAGAGACTCTGCTAAATGGATGCCAAATTATGCATGATCATGAAGGCAATACTGAGAAATACCCTTAATTATCGCGATGGTAAGAGATTTTAAAGATTTATAATACTGGAGAACAGTGTATGTTTTTTACAGCTTACAAATATCAATTTTTCTAGGCACCCCAAATGAATTGGAGGTGCCTTATATTTTTGGCAAAGCAATAATTGTAACTACATATAAATCGTCTATTTTTTATGTAAAAAAATTGTTGAACCTAGTATGAAGGTGAACCAAGTTGGACACATCATGTTCGTATAGTGTGTGTGTGTGTGTGTGTGTGTGTGTGTGTGTGTGTGTGTGTACGTAATGACGTTTTTCGACTAACTAAAATTAAAAAAAATTTAAAAGAAATTATATTTTTACAACAAAGTAAAAAGCTCAAAAGTTGTAGAGCTCATTATGATAAAACATTTTTATTCTATAAGTTTTTTTTTACAGTACCATCTTTAAAACTTTAACTGTTAAAAATTGTAACAAAAAGTCCAAAATTCAATTTTATATCATCCAACTTTTTTAAAATTACGTTTGGGGACAAAATGTTCAAATATTCAAGTTGTAGATCTTATGAAATTACTTTTTTTTTGGCCCATCTTGTAGTGGTATAACACTTTAACTAAATAAAATGTTTTAAAATAGCCAAAAAATACATTTTTATAGATTTAACTTTTTACAAATTATTTGCGGAAAAAGATTTTATTACAAAAGTCACAAGTATTACTAAAATATAANTATTTTTATACGTTGATGAAAAAAAGTAACTTTAATATTTGAAATAATATTACCTATTGTTATGGTATACTAATTAACGGTTAGTAATGTTAGTAAATAGTAAAAACTTAGGATTTCTGAAATAAAAAATTGACGGTTTTAATAATTTTATTCACTCAGCTATACCTACCCTTAAATAAGCATAAAGTTTATGTTTAAATTAATAAACGCTTCATTTTTCAAATGATGCGTTGCCTCAAAATTAATCTTCAAACTCTTTACAAATATCACTATGTCAATTGAGTAATATTTATCATTTATAAATTGAATTCTAAAAATTAAATAAATTTCAATATTAAAAGTATTTTAAATGGAAATTTTTTTCCCACATAACCATGTTTTCAATAATATTCTTCTTTATAATTGCAAAACACATTGTAAGGAATACAAAATCTTCGTCCCTTATAACGTCAGATAATGAAGTTTACATACATTTCAAAATGGGTCATGTACATTACTATAGTAATCGAATCGGTGCCTAATAAAGAAAACATATTTTCTACCCCAATACTCTCCATCAGTAGCAAATCAGTTCTATTTCTCTCTCTGTTATTTTTTAAAATTTGCATAATACTTCCTCGTGTTGTGCTCTGAAAGAAAAATTTTTGTTTTATAAATAAGAAAAATAAACTACACAACGCTTAATCATAAAATTTGTAGGTATTTAATTCTGATTCTGAGGCAACAAGTTCTATTTTAAACAAATCAATGGCGTGAACCAGAAGGCAAAGGTAAAACTCATGACTATCGATGAAACTAAACAAGAGCTCTTATTTCTCAATAAACTGTTCGCTTTGCGCGTCAAAGCAAACGGGTGGCCGAGGAAGCGTTGACAAGCTTAATACGATCGCAAACAGCTCAGGGATTTCTTTGAAGTCACAAAAGCTTTGAACCCTCTACACATATATATTATACACGCAAAGCATACGCATTATCATATGCCTAATGTGCAATATGTTGGCACATGCATTTACATACTTACACGTGAGGGGCTGAGCTTAAAGTATTCTGATTTCTGATTCAAAGCTTTTTTAGTCCACCGTCGATAAGTAAAGATTCGAGATCATATTTTGATGATAACCTACAAAAATATCATCCCTACCGAAATTAAATATTTTAATTCTCATTTCTGGTAGACAATCATTTCAGCATGTCATTAAGATAGATATAGCTTTTTCCAAACTTTGCTAAGTGGCAGATTAACAACAAAAACTTATGTAACTAAGAAAGATACCTAATCGATAAGGTAGATTTTAGCTTTTCCGACCAAATATCATAACCCCTTCAAAATCATACAAGATCAAATGTATGTTCAACACTTATCTATTGTTTAACCTTTAGAGTCGCGAGACCCAGGACAAGCACTTGTCGACCTTGTGGGGCCCAACCTGTGACTCGTTCGACTGTATAGTTAAAGACGTGATGATGCCAGAGTACCAACTTGGCGATTGGCTCTACTGGAAAGACATGGGCGCATACTCGACCTGCCTTGGAACTAATTTCAACGGCTTTGGAGTGCCCATCATCTTTCCTGTTATGCGAAGAAGTAACTGGTAATTCAGCTTATTACTTTTTTTGACAACATTTTATTATAATATAATATGATGTAACCTTGAAAAT